CAAACGAATAGAAAATTTAAAAATTTTCTGGGTAGAAAATTATACCAATCAAATACACTTGAAATCATTTTCTCTGCAAAACATTTTCTAGGCAAATCTTTTCCCTGTAAAATATTTTTTTTCCTCCAATTTCCCACCCTTGCAATCAAACGTACCCTTAATTCTGGTAAAAGGTACAGTCCGGGATGGCGGAAAAAAGTTTCCACATAAATTCAATTAAAATATTACAATAATCACTAATTCCAGCTTCTATTATATTTTGAAAAAAAAATAAAAAAAATGGGCAATGCCAATGGATTTCATTCATTAATTCTTCTTTGATTGTCATGTGCAATGTGATATTTGATGTTCGTACTCTGACACAGACCACTGAATTGTGGAACATGCCTCTTATCAAATCATTTTTCCACTTGACGGTTGAGATTTCCCCGTACAAACGATCGGTGGTCTAGGTGCACACTTTGTGGGGTGGGTTGGGTTGGGGTGCATTTGCAGACTGCAGTTCAGTATTTTCATTTTGCATTGCACACGCTCTCTCTTTCTCTTATTCAGTGGGTGACTTCTTGGTTGGGAGGAATATAAAAGAGAAGAAACCCACACTCTCTTAATGTTCTTTCCTCTTTCTTTTTTGTCTCTGAGAAAAGTTGAGAGAGAGGGAGAAGTGGTTTGAGTTGGGTTGATTTGATTTCCTCTGTTTTTTGATGATTAATGAGTGTGACCCGAAATTGGCTATTTTTCTTTACTTTTTGTGGGTTTGTAGTAAAATCAGTGATTTATTTATGAACTGAAAATGCAAGTGAGAATTGAGTTGGGGAACTCAAGAATGGGGAAGAATGATGAGGGCTGGAGGGAACAGTTGGAGCTCAAAATCAGGGAGGGTCTAGGGTTTGAGATATTGAGGATTGCAAATGAGGGTTTTGTGAGCTAACCCTGGTTTCTCTGAGCTAATTCTGTTGTTGAGTATAATTTTTTCTGTAGCTGTATTATTATAAAGACTACATATTTTTTTATATGCAAGTGTATGGATAAACTTATGAAGCTTTCAACATCAGGGATGGATCAGCAACCTCATGAAGGTACCTACTCTCTCTTTCTCTCTCTCTCTCTCTCTACACACACACACACACACATATATATGTATGCTGGTCTCCCCCTCCTCCTATCCTTTTGTATTCTAGATTTTTTGTTCTTAAAGCAAGTCTCTTTATTTGTCGTTTTTATTGATTTTTTTTTGTTGAAGTGTGTGCTTTCTGTGTCTTTAAAGAATTATTGTCCGTGTGTCTATTGCAAACTTAAGACAATTCAATAATTATTTAAGTTGATAAATTGTAAGCGACTGCTGATGGTTTATTGATTTTGGGTATTGGAAGGGGCCAAAAAGTGTTTGAATTCCGAGCTATGGCATGCTTGTGCTGGTCCTCTGGTGTCTCTGCCTACAGTTGGGAGCCGTGTGGTTTACTTCCCTCAGGGACATAGTGAGCAGGTCCTCTTTTAATTATCCAATTTCGCTCTATTATGTGTTTGTTGAAGATGTACTTTATAAGCGCTCAACAGTTCCTAAGTCCTCTTTAAGCACTTGAAAGTTGCTTTGCTTATGTGGCTATGTATCTAATGGATTTCAGTTGAAAATGTTTGGCAGGTTGCTGCCACGACTAATAAAGAAGTTAATGCACACATCCCCAATTATCCAAGCTTGCCGCCGCAGTTGATCTGCCAACTCCACAATGTTACAATGCACGTAAGTTTTCTTTATGTGCTGTTTATTATCTCCTTGTTATTGACTCATTGTATTGAGAGTTTGTTATACCTAGACCCTAAGAGATTTCTGTTTTTGTTAAATATCAGGTCGATATAGAAACAGATGAAGTATATGCTCAAATGACATTGCAGCCCCTGAATCCGGTATTCTGAAATTATACTTGGAATGGAATTTTTTGTAAGACTGTAAATTTGCAGCACTAATCAATTGCATATTGATGAGGGGATATTATTCCATTACGTAAATGCAGCAAGAACAAAAAGAGATATATCTTCCTGTGGATCTGGGAACTCCTAGCAGACAACCTACTAATTACTTTTGCAAGACGTTGACGGCAAGTGATACTAGTACACATGGAGGCTTCTCTGTTCCTCGGCGTGCTGCAGAGAAAGTCTTCCCACCTTTGGTAATGGCATTCTATTTATATGATTGTTCTGAGGTGATGGCTTGTTGATCCTGTTCTGTGGTGCCTCAGGATTTCTCTCAGACACCACCAGCCCAGGAACTTATTGCTAGGGATCTCCATGATGTTGAATGGAAGTTTAAGCATATTTTTCGGGGTAAGTTTTAGAAGTTTCCTTTACTTTTAATATCAGGTATTTATACATGTACACTTGATGGGATGACGGTTTAGGCAAGGTGTTGAATGGATATTGGCTATTACACTTGCATATAAAACTGTCTTGATTCTTAGATTTTTAATGTTAGTAGGCTGTGTTGATTAGTTATAAATGGTGGTGGCAAGAGGAAACTGTCTTGATTCTTAGAATTCTCTAGCTACTTAAGCTTTTAAGTCATGTGGTTCAACATGGTATTAAAGCATGAAAATTTTCTCTTGCCACCACCATTTAATGAAATTGTGCTCATTTCAAGTTTTATAGAAAAATGAATCCCACTTGCACAATGTGAGGGGCGTGTTAAATACAATATTTAAGTCATATACATGTGGCCTCTATATTTGCTCAAGCTTTTAGATCAAGCAGTCAAATAAAACTGTCTTTGTTTAAATTTCTTTGAATGGGATGTTCAAAAATGCATGTTAAGATGCCATTGTTCATGCAAATGAAAGTTTGTCGAGTGAAGAAGAATTGAGAAAATCACTAAAATAGATGTGTCCAAAGACAGGGCACGTGCCTTTTTTAAAGTTTCTCAATAGTGGCAGAGATTTCCATGAACATAAAATATTAGTTACAGACGATGAAGTTAATGTAATCTTTTGAACAATGTGCTTTATTGACTGCAAAGAGAATGTAATGCTTAGAGAAGAGTTCCAATCTCCAAGAGTAGCAATACGGAAAGAGGAATAGCATTTTGAAAAAGCAACAGAGTAAAGTAGCTGGAATCATTGTTCAAGAACATTTCTGTTCATTTTTCCATTTCATGTCCTCCAACTTACTCAATCGATTATGTTATTGGGGAATTGCATCATATCATTGGGTAAAACAGCTAAATAATATTTGAACTGCTGTACGGTTCCTGGTTGCTACTATTAATGATTCATGTTATATTCTTGTGGAACCGAAGTCTATAGTTCACTGTGATTGAAGAGACTACTCACATTTTCAGTTATGCAACGGTGGTGAATATTTTCTTCATGCAGGCCAGCCCAAGCGGCATTTACTTACTACTGGCTGGAGTGTCTTTGTCAGTGCCAAAAGACTAGTTGCTGGAGATTCTGTTATTTTTATATGGTATCCTTTATCCTTACATTTCCAAAAATTATTTCCTAAATTCTCAAGAGAACTCGATAATCTTTATTCCAAATATTTTGAATCCTTTCCTTAGGAATGGGAAAAACCAGCTCCTTTTGGGAATTCGTCACGCCAACCGACCGCAAACTGTGATGCCATCATCTGTTCTTTCAAGTGATAGTATGCACATTGGACTGCTTGCTGCTGCTGCTCATGCTGCTGCTACTAATAGCTGCTTCACCGTTTTCTATAACCCAAGGTGGCAATCCATAAATAACCATAAATTTTTGCATATTTCTGTTGCTTCTGCTGACACACTTATTGCATCAGGGCTAGTCCATCTGAGTTTGTTATACCTTTTCCAAAGTATGTAAAAGCTGTATATCACACTCGTGTTTCTGTTGGAATGCGTTTTCGGATGCTATTTGAAACTGAAGAATCCAGTGTCCGCAGGTATAGAATCACATGAATCTTCAGTATGAGATCCATTTTTCTGGTTTTCCTTTAGTTTTGAGTTAATATTTTAAAAACACGATAAATTAATATGGAAATCAACTCACAATGAGTCTATCCTGCTTGGAGATGTCAAACTGATTTTATTGATATCTCTGTTGCATTGTATAATTATGCTTCATTTAACTGGATACAGTTTACTTCTTGGGTCATTTCTCCTTAAGATTATGAGGGGACAAATTGTTCTTGTATATCATGTCCAAATTACTGCAGTGTGTATATGTAGTGCATGTAGATATACCACTATTTGGTATATAGTATTCAGTTGTATATCAGAGTTCATTGACAATTACCATTGTAGAAGGTAATAAGACATTGTTACTAGAGCAAAAAAACTGGTCAATATTGGGATTTCACCAACTGTTTGCAAGGCCTTTCTTAATTGGAAAAATTTTGGCGATCTTATTGGTGGATGATTCATGTCCAGATACATGGGCACGATTACTGGTATTGGGGATTTAGATTCTGATCGTTGGCCAAACTCCCACTGGCGTTCCGTCAAGGTAAATGACATGCCTTTACTGCTTAAACTTTTACTTGTGTGCTATTTTTGCTCTTAATTTTATTTTGCATTTTATATTTAATTCCGATTCTGTCAGTTGCTCATGGAAACAAATTCTCAGAGACCTCTTTCTTTTCATCTCATCTTTGCTTAACTTTTAAAGTTTGTTTTGTTCAGCTTTTCCTTGTACACAATCCAAAATCTGGTATTCTAGTAACCAATGTAGCAGAGATGTAGATATGTTTTTACAGAATGACCATTTAGGTTAATTTCTAAAATAAATGATATTTTTGGGTTTTTACGAAATGAAGTTTCATTTTATAACCTTTAAACATTTTCTAGCTGGAAGGTATGCTGTGAAACATAGCTGGTTGAGCTTGTGACTTTTCACCAAGGTGTGCAACTCTATTGCCACCCAAAAGGAGTGGACATGATTGTCAGTGAAACCTTATGCATGAATGGATGCTTTCACCTAGATGTGATTATGTGGAAGGACATGTATGAGAAAAGGCGGTGTTGTTTCCTGGGTGAAATACATCTTTATGAACAAAAAGTTACTTATTGGCTATAGCCAATACAAAAGGACTCTTCTGAAGGAGCACCCCTGACTCTATCAATATGAACAATATTTTGTCCATTTCATCCATAATTTTAATCAAAAAAGTCATTGTTGTTTTGAACTTTGAGCATTCTATCTATCTGTAAAATTAAAAAGAAAAAACTATATATTGACAAATTTGTGATTCTTTACTTTCAGAAGTTCATCAACGCAGACATGGGCAATATATACTATGTGCTTGTTTGGCAAAGCTTAATTTTTTTAAGCTGAGTCAAACATACTTTTATTCCACACTTTCGTAGGATCCACAACTTATTACCCACTTATGATTTACTCATTTTTTGGCCCACAACTTGTGAGCACTTAAAAAAAGGGAACCTTCTTTTCCTTTGTCCAATGTGGTGCACCATGATTGGTAGTCCTTCCCTTTTAAGGCCTAAATTTCTAAGAAGACAATTTTGCATTATTGCATAAAATGTGCAATGTGGTGGATGTGACATGTTAAGCACTTTCCTTCTTTACTACATGTACATATGAATTTTTTTCTGGATATTAATGGATGTGATGTGTTGAGCATTTAAATTGTGCTAAGATTTGTACCCAGAAAGTATAATTTCTGTTTTGTGATAGACATTTCATTTATCAAATGCATAGTATTGTATTATTGTTTTATAACTTTTATTCATTGATTGAGCATACATTAAAAGATTCTATATCATGGATGTAATTATGAGTTGTGCACTTAATTACTTTAGGCGTGGAAGATAAATTTGTCTTTGACCGGTTAATAGAGTTGGAGACGAAAGGAATATAATTCATTGAGTGCATAATTTAATTAAAAAAGAAAAGTAATAACACAATGATAGTAACAATATATTAATTTTTTCCTACATACTACAATGGTTCCTTGCAACGTTTTTAACTTGAATGTTTTCAATATCATAAAATATATCATTATCAAGATACACGATAGCAGAGAAGGCGAGACAAATTAAATTTTACTTGTTAAAGATAAAGATTATAATATTGCCGTTAAACTTGTTTATAATAATAATTGTGCATTGTTTGCCTTACATTTTGAACTATTCATTAATACGTAATAATGACATCCGAGTATACTTGCCTGTAATATACTTATTCATGCCATACCTGTTGTGGTAGATGAAATACTACATCCGTTTTCACAAATTTCTTGAATTTATAGGTTGGTTGGGATGAATCGACAACGGGTGAGAAGCAGCCACATGTATCACTATGGGAAATTCAACCCTTGACAACGTATCCCATGTATTCCTCTTTGTTTCCTCTGAGGCTGAAACAACCATGGTATCCAGGGGCATCCTCTTTCCAAGGTATTATCCCACCCCTTGTTACATTAAGTTTTGTGCCTGTTTCCCTCTAATTGTGTGGATGGGAATAATATAATATGTCAGTGTGGCACACGATGACATCAACTACTTGAGTTGTCAATACTACTATGTAAACCGTGAGATGAGGATTCTTCAATCTCTAATGGCTAATAAATTGGGGTGAAAATACCAAAAATAAAAGGAACTGCCAAGGCCAATGACTGCCTGTCCCATTTTTGTGACTTCATATGACAGACAATATCCTCATCCTTTAATGGGGAGAGAGAGAGAGAGCTTTCCAAGTTACTTATTTTTCAGTAATTTTATAGTATTGATTTTCTGAAGTTCTCGAACCTAATATGCTATTTTCTAAAACCTTCATTTGGCTTACTTGTGTTCTGGTGCTTTTATAACAGATGGCAGTAGTGAAGCAATGTACAACATGGCTAGGTTTAGAGGTGAAGCCGGTGTGCATGGACACAGTTCTATGAATTCTCAGTCAGTTGGTACGTTTCCCTGGACGCCACAGAGATTTGATCCACCTATCTTACGAAATGATCTCAATCAGCAGTACCAGGCTATGCTGGCAGCAGAATTGCAAAATTTTGGAAGTGAGGAGTTGCTGAAACACCAATTAGTGCAGTTCCAACAACCTGTTCAATATATTCAACATTCAGGCAGCCATAATCCCCTGTCACAGCAGCAGCAAGCAGTCCCGTTATCAATTTCTTCATATATGCTTTCTGCACAAACCCAAATGGTACCAGATAATCTACGTAGGCAAACACAACAGCTTGTTAACAACCATTCCAGAGAACATCTGCAGCAGCATACTTATCCGGAAGCATTTCTAATGCAACATGCTCAACTCCAACAGAGGGAGCCAACAGATTTTCCCTCCCCTTCATTTACAAAATCAGATTTCACAAACTCAAACAATAAACTTTCAGCATCTATTTCTCCTTCGAGAATGCAAAACATAATGGGTTCCCTTTGTTCAGAAGGGCAGGGTGATCTTTTGAATTTCTCAAGATCTGGTCAATCAATGATCAATGAGCAGTCGCCGCAACAATCCTGGGTGGGGAAATTTGCTCAGTTACCAGTCATTGATAGCTCCAACTCAGCTTCACTTCCAGCGTATCCTGGAGAGGATTTTTCTGTTGAACATGAAACCTGTGGCTTGGATACCCAGAATCACACCTTTTTTGGTGCTAATGTTGAATCTTCAGGACTCCTGCTTCCAACCACCATGTCCAGTTTAGATACTTCTTCAGTTCGTGCTGACATGTCATTTGAACTATTAGATGCTTCTGGGTTTCAGAGTCCTCTACTCGATTATACAAATGATTTAGAGTTATTGCAAAGCACAGGACAAGTAAAACAATCAAACCCAACTGGTACTTTTGTTAAGGTACTAGTTAGGGCCTGCATTATGCTTCTAAATATTCTGCTTACACGAGTATTTAGCAAGTTAATGCTATTTTATTTGGTGCAGGTTTACAAATCTGGGTCAGTTGGTAGGTCAGTGGATATCTCCCGGTTCAACAGCTATCAGGAGCTGCTGTGGGAACTGGGTCAGATGTTTAGGATAGAGGGGTTGCTTGAAGGCCCTCAAAGATCAGGCTGGCAGCTTGTATTTGTCGACAGGGAGAACGATGTGCTTCTCCTTGGAGATGACCCATGGGAGTAAGTATCTTGATACTACGCCATCTATGTTTTTTTATGTTCCCTATAGGATTTGAAGTTCTTAGGCATTTGTGGCCTTGTGCTCGTAACCTGAAAAATACACAGTATAACTGATCCATATTTACATTATTATTTTTTTGGTATGCTGTCCCTTCACTGTGAGAATTGAGCATTCTGGAGGTGGATCCCCTAAATGGAACGTATCTGCCTAACCCTGTTTCTGTTGTGATTTGTCACGTGTCAATCACTGAAACGGTCATTAAAATTTTGTGAAATGTTCCTTTAATTTTATTGACCATAATAAATGGAATTTGCAGGGAGTTTTTGAACAATGTCTGGTATATCAAGATCCTTTCTCCCGAGGACGTCAGAAACTGTAAAGACAAGATTCTGGATCATTAAGTTGAAACAAGAACCTTGTTTCTCTAGGATCACAGGGCAATGATGCTTCTGCCAAGGCACTTAGCCCCAACTCGTATTGTACTTAAGTGCGTAGAAGTCACTCAATCGTGAATTTTGTGGCTTGATAGCATTTGACCCTTTTACTATAATGTTGTGCATTTATCCTTTGTAGCATTGTTGTATACAATTGCATTTTCTGCAGCTGTTAATGCCATGCTAAGAATCATGAACCTGCTTTGCTATTATATGTTGTATTTTTTCAGTCCTACTACATTTACATTATGGGTTACACCTTGATTTACACCGTTGATTTCATCCCCCTCCCCAACCGAATGTAAAGCTAGATGTACACAGAGACAGAGACGTTTGTTGTCCCCTTGATTTAAGAGGCAACCAAAGTTCAAGAAATTGTTGCTAGATTTATAAATGACTATTTCTTGAGTTGACAAGATTTCTAGTTTCAAATTTTAATTAAACTAATGTTTTGGAAAAGAAAAGTATTATTAATCCCCAGTCTATATGGACGTAAATGATTGGTTAAATGATATGTGAAATTAAATTAATGCCACATAAACGTCACATAGACTGGGATGAATAGCATTTCTCTTTGGAAAAACATTGACATGCTTTTTGGCATCTCACATGTGGTGGAACCCACATGGGACCCATGTGAATTGAAAAAGACC